TCCTCCTCCTCCGCCTCCTGCAACTTCTCCTCCTCCTCTTCTTCCTCCTCCTCCTCCACGTCATCATCATCATCATCATCATCATCATCATCATCATCATCATCATCATCATCATCATCATCATCATCATCATCATCATCATCATCATCATCATCATCATCATCATCCATCATCATCATCATCATCATCATCATCATCATCATCATCATCATCATCATCATCATCATCATCATCATCATCATCATCATCATCATCACATCATCATCATCATCATCATCATCATCATCATCATCATCATCATCATCATCATCAGCATCATCATCATCATCATCATCATCATCATCATCATCATCATCATCATCATCATCATCATAATCATCATCAGCCTCCTGGACAACATCGTCCTCATCACCATAATCATCATAATCATCATCATCACCAGCATCAGCAGCAGCATCATTATCATCATCAACAACATAGTCAGCACCATCATCATCATCATCATCATCATCATCATCAGCATCATCATCATCAGCATCATCATCATCAGCCTCATCATCATCATCATGATCAACATCATCGTCACCACCGTCATCATCATCAGAATCATCATAAGCATCCTCATCCTCCTCACAATCATCATCAACATCATCAGCATCACCGTCATCGTCATCATCATCAGCATCACCATCAGCATCCCCCTCATCATCAAGAGAGTCATCATAAACATCATCAGCATGATCAGCATCACCAACATCAGCACCATGTGAGTCATAATCATCATCATCATCGTCATCATCATCATCAACAGCACCATCGTCATCATGATCGTCATCATCAGCATCAGCACCATCAACATCAGCAGCATCAGCATCCTCATCGATATCATCATCCGCATCATCACCTTCATCATCATCAGCATCATCAGCAGCAGCACCATCACCATCATCATCATCATCATCATCATCATCATCAACATCATGATCATCATAACCGTCGTCGTTGTCGTCGTCATCACCAGTTTCATCATCAATAGCAACATCTTAATCAGCATCATCATAGCATCGTCATGATCCAAACCATCGTCACCATCCTTATCTTCATTATTACCAGTTTCACCCTAACCACCATCCTAGTCGTCAGCATGGTCATCGTCATCATCATCGACATAGCTCGTACCAGCAGCATCGGAACCTCCACCATCATCATCATCATCATCATCACGATCATCATCAGCAGCAGCATCGTCATCATCATTGCCATCGTCACTATCATCAGCATCATCATCGTCATCATCATCATCAGCATCATCATCATCATGAGCAGCAGCATCATCATCAGCATCTTCATCATTATCATCATCGTCATCATCAATTTATTTATCATAATCGTATTCAGCAACCTCATCAGCAGCAGCAGCAGCATCATCATCATCGGTGCCATCATCATTATCATCAATACCACCGTCATCCTCATCACACGCAGCATCAGCATCAGTAGCATCATCATCATCATCATCATCATCATCATCATCAGCATCATCATCAACATCATTATCAGCATCGTCATCATCAGCAGCCGCATCGTCATCAGCATAATCCCCATCATCAACATCATTATCATCATCAACGCCATCATCAAAGTAATTCCAACAACATCATAATCAGCATCATCATTAGCAGTAGCAGCAACATCATCAGCATCATCGTCACCATCATCAGCATCAGAATACTCAGCATCAGCATCGTCACCATCACAAGTAGCATCAGCATCATCATCATCATCGTCATCGTCATCCTCATCATCATCATCATCATCATCATCATCGACAACATCATAACCAGCATCAGCATCAGCATCAACATGGTCGTCACCATGATCAGCAACATCTGCATCGTCACCAACATCAGCATCATCGGCATACTCGCAATCATCTATCTTAATCATACTCAGCATCAGCACCACCATCATTATCAGCATCATCATCATCGTCACCAGCATCAGCATCATAATGATCAGCATCAGCATCGTCATCATCATCATCACCATCATCAATCATCATCACCATCATCATCATCATCATCATCATCATCATCATCATCATCCTCATCCTCATCCTCATCCTCATCCTCATCCTCATCCTCATCCTCATCCTCATCATCATCATCATCATCATCATCATCATCATCATCATCATCATCATCATCATCATCATCATCATCATCATCATCATCATCATCATTATGATCATTCTCGGGGGAGTCCGCCTCAAGTCGTGCTGGAGGTCTGGAGACCAACCCGTTCGTCCACCTTCAGTGTCCTCGCTCTCATCGCCGCCGTCCCCGTTCCATCATTCTCACCATGCAGTCACCCCTCCCCTGGGCCTTGGCCCGTCTATGCGCGGCTCTGCGCGAACGGCAGCACCGATGTGGTCGACGTAGCGCCAGCTGCTGACGCACGCGGTCGTGCCCACTGGCGCTGTGCCCTGGCCGCCCCGACAGTACGAGGGCAGAAGATAGGGTACGCAAGTGGGCAAAGAATACAACGAGAAAACGACGGCCCTGTCAACCATCCCCTCATTCTTTTCGACGACATCCAGCCCGAGCCCCAATTACAACGGGCAGGTCACTTCAGTTGGCTACGCCCGCGCAGGATTCGCGGGAACGAGGGGGGGAACTAGCAGCAGGAAAAAAAGGAAGAGGAGGCAAGACGGGACGAGCGTATGATCAAACGCCTGGCCAAGCCAGCATTAGGGAGGATCACAAGCAGCAGAAGGAGCACACGCAAGTCGTGGGGCAGGAGGAGGAGCGCAAGGGGGGGCGGATGACCGGCACCAATGACTACAAGAGGAATAGTGAAAGGGAAAGCGAGCAGGAGCAAGAGCGGCAGCAACACGAGATGCGTCGACTGGCGCAACAGGGGGGGGGCAGAGGTAGAGAAGACCAAACGCGGGGAGCAGCCGGAGCAGGGTGATGAGGAGCACTTAGAGCACAACGACCAGAGGCTGCAGCAGTAGCAGGAGCAGCAGGAGCAGCCCGCGCCGAGGGAGAAGGAGGGGGGAAAAACTGCGAGGAAGGAGGGGCACGACGACGACGACGACGAGCGAGCACGTGTGAGGACATAGCGCACGAAGATGAGGAGGACTGAGAATAGCAACTGGGAAAATGAGGGGTCGTCGGGGCCGCCGCTCGCAACGAAGAGGGAGCCGCAGCTGGAGCACGGGAGCGTGCCGCGCCCTGGGCCGCGTGCTCGCGCGAGGGGAAGCCCTGCCCAGGGGTGGTTGGGCCAAGGAGCCTGATCCCCTCGAGGGATCCGTAGGATGTGGCCGATGACTGCCCAGTGCATGTGACAGAACAAGAAAAAAAGAGACGGGTACCCTTCGTCGGAAGAAGAGGGTAAAAACATGAATTGGGAAGGAAGTTGGGTTTTCTCTCGCCCCCTAATAAAAGTGCGAGGAGAAGGGAAAGGAGCTCCATGATTGAAGTGGGAATGGCAGTTCCAAAAACACCAACTCTCAACAACCGATGGGCGCACTGACCCATCCCCCCCAAAAGAGCCGCGACGCTCGAGACCCTGCGCAGATCCGTGCCCGGGTCTCTCGAGGGTTGCTAGGGGTACCCCTGGCCCAAGGTACCCCCAGCTTTTCGTTCAATTTTGGAGCCCCAGGGGGCCCTCCGGGCCTGGTGAGGAGTGATCTGGAGGCCGTGGGGGCATCCTTGGAAATCCTGGGGGGAACCTTGGGACACGGGCACTTCTAGCAACACCCGAGTCTCGGGCATGAGCTGGTCGAACCCGCTCAGGCCTTCGCACTGGCGGCTCTCCAGGCCACCCCTCAACCTCTGGCGGCGCGCACACGCGGGAGCGCGAGGTAGGGCCTTTCAAGGAGGCGGGGAACTTCTTAATGAGAAGGCAGGGGCCTTCTCACAAAGCCCCTCCAGCTGAACTACAGGAGCCCCCCGCCTTCTTGGAGGGCCGCTCCCCTTGCGCCACCACCTGGCGCACGCCACCCTGGGATCCAACGTCGCGAAAAGATACAAAAGCGCGAGGAACTACCACTGAAGCCCTGGACCCTAGACCCAAACACACAGAGGCACTTCTCGAGCAATACCAGGCCGTCAGCGCCCCTCGGGCCTGAGATTGGCCGAGCACACTCGGTGCTCACGAAGATGGCGACGCCCAGAGCTCAGGGCGCCACCTGGCAAGGCCTCGGGCTGCGCACGGACAGTCCCCCCAGGCAGCTATGGCCCTGGCTGGCCTAGCGAGATCCGTGGAGCGCCCCAGGGCTGAGGTCCTCCTCCTCCTCCTCCTCCTCCTCCTCCTCCTCCTCCTCCTCCTCCTCCTCCTCCTCCTCCAGACTGCCCCTGGGGGGGCGGGGAGGCGGGGCGGCCCGTGCGCGACCCGAAGCATTCGCCAGCGGCGAGCCCCCCCTGGCGAGCCTGCGGGGGCACGGGATCGTTCAGGGGCGCTCCCTGCCCCGCCGACCCCGCGCCGGCGGCCGCCGCAGCGCCGGTGGTCGGCCGAGGCGGGAGGCCCGCGCCCGCCGCGACGCTGCCGACGGCGCCGCAGGCGGCGGCGTGGAGTGCGGCGGCCGCCTCCGGAGGGTGCCCGCCATACGCCCAGACATCAGGCATCTCGAAAACAACGGGATGGGTCTTGAAAAGCGTTCGGCCTCTCCAGGCCCTCACTGGGCCCAGGGGCCGCCAACAAGCGACTGGGGATGGAGCACCGGTCCCGGGGAAGCGGTCGAGACGTGGGGGGCCCGTGCTTCGAAAAAATCGGCACGCCCGATGCCTGAGCCACCTACACCGCCCATGGCCAGGCTCATCCTGAGCCCAGGATCGGAAGGGCCAGGATTGGCGTAGGTGTAAATGGTTGGCGCCCTGCGACGCCTTGCGGCCCGCGCCGCCGCCGCCGCCGCCGCCGCCGCCCCACCGCTCGAGCTCCGCCAACGTCAGCGGCTTGCCGCCAGGCCACGCCTCCGGCGCCGCCCTCTGGGGGGCCTCCGGGGCGGGGGGAGGGGGCGGACCCTGGGATCCGAGCGTCACGCAATTCTTGTCGTGCCAGGCGCTTTCTCCCAGCTTCTGACACCAGGAGCATCACAGATCGATCTGGCTCGAAAAATGCACCACAAAAATACAGTCTTCGGCCCAGGTCGTGGTTTCTCGCACTGCTGCTATGTTTTACAACGTCGAATCTTGGGGGAGGCAGTTTGGCTTCAGGAGGGCTGTGGCTTCCGAGCCGCTCCTTCGATGTGAGTCAGCGGACCTATTCGTGGCCGAGGCTCGCCATGGCCAAAAACGTCCCCTCCTTCCTTGTTTCGCACTCCTAGCGGTAGCCAGATGACTGTGGGGCGGATACGCGTCCCCGCGACATCGGCGTTGGTTTCTGACACCGCGTGGATCGTTCAGGCTCGAACGATCGCGGCTTTCCGATAGCGCTGACCGTCCGATATCGGCGCATTCCTGGCCACCGCTGTTCAACCCAATTGCCGCGCTGGGGTTGTCGCCGTGTCGACGCCGAACGAACCTGCCGTAAAGAGAAGGCGGAGAAGAGTTGGAAGCGGTGGGAGGAGGCGAAGGGGGAGAGAGAAGGGACAGGAGGGAGGGATGAGGGAGAGGCAGGAGGACGGGGCAGAGGAGGGAGGCAGGAAGCGAGGGAGATGCTCGTGGCTTTCATCAGTACTATCCTCGCGGTCAATGTAAATCCTAAGCAAGCACGTGCGTCCTCTGAGCCAAAATCGTGGCCACGCCCCCCTCCGTCCACAATTACTTGCGCCATCCGTCTGCACGTCTCCATTTTCAGTTCTTACTGACCCACGAACAATGCGCCGGGTCAGGTGGGCGAAAGAAGGCAAGGCCAACATATTCTCACCACTCTGCCAGAGCGGCGGCACGACGGCGGTCGCATAGGTTACAACTGCGTTGCAGGAGGAAGACGAGAAGAGGACGACGAGGAGAAGGAAGAAAGGGAGCACAACTAACATGCCGCGGGAACCGAAAACTGGCGGGGCACTACTCGTTTTCCCTGCGCTGGAACACCGAGGGCGGATAAATCCTGCCCCCACCATACACATTATCTACAGGTGCTGGCGTCCACACCGTTACGCCGTCACGCCCTCACTGAGAGTGATGATAGATGTCGTGTGGCACTGCGGTCACATAGGCACACAGGCCATCAGAGTGATACTGGGGGCGCGGCCAGAACAAAATAGGCAGGGGGTGCCCTTCGCACCAGCCGTGCTGCTGAGTATGGCGCTCGACACAAGCATCCCATTGCACGGGATTGTGTAGGTACTGTAGACGCAAGGCGTTCGAATCGAAACGTGTCGAAATCGATCTGCACATCCTCATTGCCGATTTCACCTGCGGTCGCCCGCGCCTGCGTTTAAGCGCATCCGTAGCAGGGGGATCAAGGTCAGGCTGAAATGTCGCTTGCCTAAACCAACCCTGATTCGGAACCCGACGTACTGTTCAATGAAACGCGAGCTGCTGCCGCAAAAAGCTGGGTATTGCAAGAGTCCGGGCGAAACTGCCACAGCACAGCCCCAACACAGCCAAATTCGACACGCGCGGCACAAAAGGCCTCGACGGCGAAATGTGCGAAAAAATCGCCACGTGCGTTTGGTTGGGAATACATACAAACCATTGTTTTGTTCCGAATGATTGAGACGACCAGTCGAAAGTGAATACGAGACCTTGCTGATGTTCGCGCGCTTGCCTACGACGGTGTGTTTCCAACACCGTTCGCATTGATGGAAATCGTTCGCAACACAACCTGCAATGCACAGCGTGGTTCCTACGGGCGACAAGTGGTATTGGGCAGGAATCGCCAGGCTCTCGGTGGTTGGCAAGTGAATTTCGCATCCGCCTTGAAGCAACTGGAGGTTGTCACATGTAGCTCGATCCTGGCTCGTGCTCCAGCCCGTGCAACTACATCCAACAACCCTTGCAAGTACAATTGGGAACTTAATATCCATTGGGTGCTGTCGGCGCATAGCAATGTTGGTATGTCACCTGTTTCCATGTCGCTCCTCATTTACTGCCCCAACTTGCCCGTCGCATATCCCGTCAATTTTGCCACGCCAATTACAAAAAAATGGCAGCGAGAAGGCACCCTTGAAATATGCCCGGTTGCTGCCGTCATTGTCTGGACGCCGCGGGCCCTTTCATATACGTAGACACGGGAACTGTCGTAAAGATTTGCAATGAGCACGAGCAGTTGGTTAAGGCGCTCCGCATCCCCGAAAAATGGCAAGCATCGCCCCCATGTGGATCGAGCCTCACGCTATCTTCCTGTTAAAAGGGACAAACGTAATGTGCCCATGTTTGGCCGCCTTGGCCGCCTCGTTATACCTTCGCACCATACAGATCCCATATCATGTTCCTCGCCCACTTCTGATTCATCATTGCGTTGAGGTAGCAAGCTTGCTGAAGGCCGCTTTAACAATTGTGACGCCAAAATATTGTAGAGCTGCACATGACGAACTGATCGGCCTATTGTTGTCACCATTGTCGGTCGCGCCCTTGTTTTCGTACACGTCATTGCTTCTGGACTCCGCCCAACGCTCTGGCGCGTGCACCCCGGCACACGGTACACAAATCCGCAAGCCCTTGCAAGCCCGTCGACGCCGGAGCACTTGATTTCCACCATTCCGCTGGAATGTGGTCTGGGCGATTTGCAGTTTCCCACTTCAGCGCGAAAACGTTCTCATGTGTTTTTTGTCGCCTCGAAAGAGCATCCTGTCTACAGGTAGTTGGTCTTCAAACGAAAACTCGTTGGTCAATGTTTCCGGCCGTACCTTCCAGCAAAAATTATATGGGAAACCTGTTCGCGCGTCAGCCTGCCCAATGCTCTCAACAAGTACCCCATCCAGGTGTTTGGAATGGCTTTGCTTCCGAAGCTACGGCGTGCACTGCTCTCGTAGTGTGTCTCCACTGCCGGTAGCGCTGACCGAATCAACCTAGTTTGTCGTATTTCTTAATTAACTGCCTGATTTCATTCAACAGACGCCTCTCCTCGATTCGGTCGATTTGGCTCCGCGCGGCACTGCGCTGAGAAATCAAATGAAGCGTCCGCTGGGATGTCCACGGCTTCCTTCTCAATAACATGGGAATGGGAAACCCCTGTTTCTGAAGCGATCGTTGCTGCCATGCCGCGTTCCCATAGATGACAGATTCCCCCTGCGGTGCTCTCGTGGGAGTCGCAGCAGACAGCTTCCAGAAAGATTTCAAAGAACAGCGCTTGATCTCCAACGTCTCTGCGGGCACGTTTGTCCTTTCAGTGGATTCGCGTTGGCAATTGCTCCTCGCCGAAGTGTCGCATTTTGTCCGTAATCATATAGTTCCAAACCATCCTGTGGTATTGGGTCCTCGTTTTGAAGAGATGGCCACCGCCTTCCTCTCCTTCCTCCTCCCCTCCTCCCTCCTACATAATCATCGTCATCACCCGTTTCAGCACACCCCATCACACGCTTCACGGCCCCATAGGGAGCTCCAGCGAAGGCCCCAATGCTACCGTCCACATGTGTCCCACGCACCAATTTCGGCACAGCCCTCACACGCTTCGTGGCCCCACTGGGAACTCCACCGAAAGCCCCAGTGCCACCGATTACATGCGTCCCCCACACCAATTTTGGCGCACCACTCACACGTGTCGTGGCCCCATAAAAAGCTCCACAAAAGGCCCCTGTACTACCGTCCACACGCGTCCCCAGCACCCATGTCGGAACCCCATTCACACGCTTCGTGGCCCAATAGGGAGCTCCACACAAGGCCCCACTGCTACCGTCCATCTGCGCCCCACACACATGTCGACACACCCCCATCACACGTTCCGTGGCCCCATAGGGAGCCCCACCGAAGGTACCAGTGCCACCATCCACATGAGCCCCCCACACCAATGTCGGCACACCCCTGACACCATTCGTGGCCTCAGAGGGAGCCCCACAGAAAGCTCCAGCACCACCACCCATATGCGTCCCCTACACCCATGTCGACACCCCCTCTCACATGCTTCCTGGCCCCATAGGGAGCTCCACCGAAGGCCTCAGTGCCACCGTCCACGCGCGTCCCCCACACCCTTTGTCGGTACACCCTTCACACGTTTCCTTGCCACCTGGGGAACCCCAACGGAAGCCCCCCAGCTACCGTCCACCTCCGTCTTCCACACCCATGTCGACACAACACACACGCTTCGCGGCCTCATCGTGAGCTCCACCGAAAACCCCTATTCCACCGTCCACAAGCGTACCTCGTATCGATTTCGGCACACCCCTCACACGCTTCGCGGCCCCACTGGGAACTCCACCGAAGGCCCTAGCGCAACTGTGCACATACTTCCCCCGCACTGATTTCGGCACACCGCTCACACGCTTCGTGGCCCCATAGGGAGCTCCACAAAAAGGCCCCACTGCCACCGTCCACCTGCGTCGCCCACGCCCACTTCGGCACACACACCTCACACCCTTCGTGGCCCCATAAGGAGCCCCACCGAAGGCCCCCTTGCCATAGTCCACACGAGCCCCCCACACCCATTGCGGCACACCCCTCACACGCTTCGTGGCCCCATAGGGAGTTCCACCGTCAACATGCGCCGCTGGCTCAAAGAATGTTCACCCACCGTGTCCCCTGGTGCGTAGTGGAACGGAGTATTGCACGTGCTGTCGCGTTGTGCCGTTGCAATCGAAGGACCACCATACCCATTTCGGCACACCCCTCACACGCGTCGTGCCCCCATATGGGAGCTCCACCGAAGGCCCCAGTGCCACCGTCCATTTGCGCCCCCCACACCGATTTCGGCACACCCCTCACACGCTTCGTGGCCCAATAGGGAGACCCACCGAAGGCGTCAGTGCCACTGCCCGCATGCGTCCTCCACACCCATTTCGGCACCCCCCTTTTTTCCAACCTTTCGTAGCCCCACAGGAAGCTCCACCGAAGAACTCAGTGCGACTGTCCACCTGCGTCCCCCGCACCGATTTCGACACCCCCACACGCCTCGT